AACGAAATGCTGTTTTGATTTTACTGATCTTAAATGCAAGATTACCCAGTTTTCTGATAAACGTATTGCATGTGAGCATTGCCAGCTATCGTTTTTTCGTTGCTCGAATTTAAGTGTACAAAGAAATTGCGCTACTCTTCTGATTGTGTGCTTTTCCGTCCCTTGTTCAGATCAAATCTTTAAAAAAAATTGAATGTCCAGTTGTAAATGGGTCTTAAGTTAATTTTGTAGATTGAATCGAAAGATTTCGTTATGTTCCGACTTCGATCAATTGCAGGGTAAGAAATAAAAAGCGCTATTGACAAATGGGCAAGCTGGAAACCGTTCCTGAACATATAAACTTCTCAGAAGAGGAAGTGAAAACATTAAATAGATGGCGCGAACAAGAAACGTTCAAAAAATCACTGGAAATGAGTAAGAATCGTCCGCATTACACCTTCTACGATGGACCACCGTTTGCCACGGGATTGCCGCATTATGGTCACTTACTCGCGGGCACAATCAAGGATGTTGTAACCAGATGGGCGCATCAGAATGGTTATTATGTGGAAAGACGATTTGGCTGGGATACACACGGTCTTCCGGTGGTTAGTTATTTTCTGTTGTAATCACAGTAAATTGGTTGATTGCCTCATAGTGAAGAAAAGAAATAGTTATGTTAAGAATTCATGAGTTATGAGATAATTCATCGAATATTTGAGCATTGGTGGTTAAGCTCGAACCACTCTGCTTTATGCAATTTTAATGCAAGAAAGAATTAATGTTGAACTGTATTTCACTGATGAGTACGAACATGGTGTTATTCATTGAAGGAATTCGAAGTTGACAAAATGCTTGGCATTCGTGGTCCAAGTGATGTCCTNCTTTATCCGTGGTTCATGGAGAGTGTATGGTGGGCATTTAGTCAACTCGTCAAAAAAGGACTTGTTTATCGAGGTGTTAAGGTTCCATTTATGATTCATCTGGTAGTTATGGAATTCATATGTGATCTTATTCCTGACTCACGTGCCCAAGGATCATGGGCAATTTTGTAATTAATGTGTTTGTGGGAGGGGACGGTGCTACTTGCCACAGTCTGAACTTTGGATGAGCCTCATTACTATGTTTCAGGCATCAATCTGAGCCGGATGTGAACCTCTGTCTCAGGACAGATCTCAGGCTGAGCCTTGGCGTGAGCCTTATCCTAGAGTAGGGATTTGCTTTAGCTTAAGGATTATGTGTAGCACCGCCACCCTTCACAAATATGTTAACCGAAAGATATGGAATCCATAAAAATCGAGCACTGAATATATCTACTGTTAAGGTGATGCCGTTCTCAACCAGTTGCTCGACGCCTTTGTCAAACTTCGAAGCTGGGCAAAACTATAAGGATGTTGTTGATCCAGCTGGTTTCTTAATTTCTTTTTGCTTCCGCTTCTCCGTTTCTCTTTTTCTTCTCATCTATTTAATAAATAAAGTATTTTCCTGACAACTTTATCAGTCACATTCCTTCAATTTGAAGTGAGATTCCAGTTGTTGTTGGTTTCACATTGGACGAAGATCCATCAGTTCAACTGGCCGCATGGACAACCACACCATGGACATTACCAAGTAATTTATGCATCGCTGTTCATCCCGACCTTGAATATGTGACTGTTAAAGATAAATCAACACAAAAGAAATATATAATCATGGAAGAGGTTCGTTCGCTTGTGCGGCTTCATTCGTCTTTCTTAATCTCGCTTCTGTTCTGCATTTCTAGTTTCTCTTTTTTTNTTTTTTTCTCCTTTCTTCAGGGTTTATTTAGTCTACCATAAGGATGGAGAAAGCATCCAGTTATTAGTGCTGATATGAATTTTATTATCTGCATTGGTCAAGCTGTCAAACGTTTGTAAAGTTGCTGGCCACAATGCGTTTTCATTCGGTCGTCGACTTGCCTTCCTTTGCCAATTATTACCGAGTATGTAATACAGTATTAATAACACGTAATTTACTGTCGCATAATTTTAGCGTCTGTGTGAACTATACAAGAATACAGAAGCATACGAAATATTGGATCGCTTCAAAGGTGAAGCGCTGAGGGGTAAAACCTATCAACCGCTCTTTCCTTACTTCAGTGACTTAAAGCAAAAACTCGGCGCATTCCGAGTACTCATAGCTAATTTTGTGACAACCGATCAAGGCACTGGCGTCGTACATCAAGCACCGTATTTTGGAGAGGTCATCTCATTTTTATAGCATATTTCTGTTGGTCACTTCTAATACGTCTGCTAATGTATGAAAAAATCATTTAATCAGCGATAATTCGCAGATTCTTGTTTATCGATGTTTTTATCTTGTTCAAGTTATATTCTTGTACATAAACAACGATGCCCAATGTGTTAATTTTGAATAGTTCAGATCGATTTCCAAACATGTTTGGAGAATGGAGTCATAACTCGTGATATGAAACCAGTATGTCCGGTAGATGAGTGTGGTAAATTCAAAGAGGAAGTGAGTGATTTCAAGGGAATGTACGTGAAGGACGCAGATAAACTCATTTGTAGATATCTGAAGGTATGTTGTGATACTTTCTATTGTTCATCATTGCAACGTCTCAGTAATTACTCGCCAATGATGAATGTATCGTGAAATGAAATCTCTCCCAATGACTGACTTCACTTACTGCTGTGCATTCACTGCCAGTGAAACCAGCCCTGTATTATCACTGCTTGAGGAACACGGTAACTTGGTGAAGCACGGTGAAGTAAAGCATAGTTATCCGTTCTGTTGGCGTTCTGACACACCACTTTTGTATATGGCCGTTCCATCATGGTTTATTCGAGTGGAATCTATCATACCGCAGCTTCTTCAAAATAACGACAAGACCTATTGGTTAGTGAGTTCTGGGCTGATGGAAGCATTGATTGGATTGATTCAGTCTGATTATTCATGAAACGATTTCATGTTTCGATGTATGAGATATTGATAACGTGTCGTTCATAGTGGCAGTGCTACGTGTAACTTTCAATGTTTTTGCGATAGTGCTGAAGTGAAAAGATGAAAGCCAACAATGTTCTTGTTCGAATCAAGGGTTCCATCGTTCGTGAAGGAGAAGCGTTTCGGTAATTGGCTTCGTGATGCTCGTGATTGGGCCGTTTCACGTAATCGTTTCTGGGGTACACCGATCAATCTTTGGATTAGTGACGACCTCGAGGAGATGGTTTCGCCGTCGTCGATCGCCGAGCTTGAGGCACTCACTGGCCAGAAGATCACTGACCTACATCGTGAAAGGTTCTGCCTCACTGTAAATTATTCTCCTCCGACTGTTAGATTTCGGCTGTATTATTTCATGTAGATTTATGTATTGCACTTTTCCATTAAGCATAGTGATATCAATTCTGGATGCAATCAACGACACTTGAGTAGTAATGAACTCGTGCTGCTATTTCGGTATTCAACCCAAAAACTGTTGTTCTGAAAAGTGAACTTTCTTTAGTGTCGATCATTTGACAATACCATCGAAAACTGGCAGAGGTGACTTGCATCGTGTATCTGAAGTGTTTGATTGCTGGTTCGAATCCGGTTCAATGCCCTACGCCCAGAATCATTATCCATTCGAGAATCGCAAGCAATTTGAGGATAATTTTCCGGCTGATTTCATTGCTGAAGGTTTTTTGCTGTTTCATTTTTGTCATCACATTGACTGTAGCAATTTCGTTCGTACTCGAAAATATTTGTTTAATTATTTTCGATGCAGTTTGTTTGAAATTCATTCGAGATGTGTATTGTCTGGAGAGTTCTTTAATAGTGCAGTTTATCAATGCATCGGCAAAGGAATGCATTTGTTTTATTCTAATGCATAGATGAGATGAGATTGATTTGTTTGTTTTTCGTTGCCCAAACTGTGTTTCGATAATCGAACGAGTCAGGTATCGATCAAACACGCGGTTGGTTCTACACTTTGTTGGTGCTGTCAACTGCACTCTTCAATCGTCCACCATTCAAAAACCTCATTTGCAATGGGCTCATTCTGGCATCTGATGGTTCGAAGATGTCGAAACGAAAGAAGAACTATCCGGATCCGATGGAGGTTACTTGCTTGGACTTTCGCTTGAATTTTACGGGTACTCATATTAAACGTGAATTGTTAGGAGAAACAGTGAGTTAGAATTTTGAACGGAGGATTATATATCCATGTAAAGCTGTGCGACTGAAAATTTCGAAATTAATTTCCACTGTTGATTTAAGTTGAAATTAGTTGAAGCCTTATGGTGACAGTTGAAGCGATATTTTCGAATGTTGTCGACAAAAGGAATGCGAAAAAAAATCTCTCTAAATTCAGATAGTCGGTAAGTATGGTGCGGATGCATTGCGGGTTTATTTGGTTAATTCGCCGGTAGTGAGAGGTGAGAATTTGCGCTTCCGTGAAGAGGGCGTTCGAGATGTTCTCAAGGACGTTTTGCTTCCTTGGTACAACGCGTATCGTTTCTTTGTTCAAAATGTACAACTGTTTGAACATGTAAGCAGTTTTCAGTCATTGCTTTCGATTCCGTTATGTTCGTTGTTTGTTTCTTTATCGTTTCTCGAATGTATACTAACAATAAGGAGATCATTTTAAACGAAAATCTACCTGATATTGCTGAAAACACACGAATATTTATTTTCATCGATTTGCAGGATTTTGGTCGAGAATTTACGATTGTGGAAAGTGAATCGACGAATGTGATGGATTGTTGGATAATCTCCTTCTCGAACAGTTTGGTGTCATTCGTACGACAAGAAATGGAAAAGTATCGTTTGTATGCGGTGGTGTCTCCGCTAACAAAATTCTTCGATACACTCACGAATTGCTACATCAGGTTGAACCGAAAACGCATCAAGGTAAGTCGTTGGTACTGTAGTGTTCTAAGTTAGTATTTTGTTACTTTGGTCGTTTTATTGGATTGACATCGGATGTGACATGCAAATTCTTCGACTTCGTTTCACTAGCACATAAGTTCATATTGAATGTTGGATTACATTCGAATGTGTCAATATCTGATTTTATGTCACCTTGCATGTACATTTTCATGTGACAACTACTATTAATGATATTATCGAAATGTATTGACTTCAGGGAAACGGAGATGAAGATGATCGTGCCCACGCTCTGTCCACGTTAGGTCGTGTTCTGCTTCTTACAGTTCGTTTGATGTCTCCGTTGACACCGTTCTTTTGTGACCTTTTATGGCAAAATCTTCGTCATATCGTCGCGTCGCCTTCAGAATCGGTTCACTTCGAAATGATACCACAACCGAAGTGAGTTGTTTCGTTTCCTTGACCGATACATCTTCGTTTCTTCAGCTTGGAACAAGAATTTTTGCTGGATTTTTAGATCTGATTTTGAGATAAAAATCCATCTGAACCCGAATTTTTGGACTGTATGCGGGTGACTTTTAAGATCGGAGCTGATCGATGAATCAGTGGAAAGACGTGTGGCTGCAATGCGAGCTGTGGTGGATTTGGTTCGTGTATTGAGAGAACGCAAGGCAATCCCTGTTAAAGTGAGTGCATTTGGTAGTTGTTCATTTCATTTCGTGTTGTCAGTTTTGATCGAAAGCCAAATTACACACCTTTTGCATTCGTTGCTCTTTTGCTTTCAGTATCCTCTGAAGGAAATGGTCGTGATCAATCGTGACAGTCAATTCCTCGACGATTTGGTCTCACTGGAGAACTATATACTGTTGGAGTTGAACATTCGCAAAATGACTGTATCACAAGACAAAGCTAAATATGGTGTTCAATTGAAGGCTGAACCAAATTTCCGTTTGTTAGGTGCGCGTCTCAAAGGTGATCAAAAGAAAGTGGTCGATTATCTAAAGGTTTGAGCATCTTAATTGAAGCACATTTCGCGAATTATAATTTGTCTTTTGAAAAGTTCGTTGTTTTTGTTTGTCGCTTGATTATGACGAATAGAAATGCAAGAATTCTCGTTGGTGGTTGCAGAATAAAGTAAGTGAAGAAGAGTTGACGACGTTCTTGGAGCAGGGCACATTGAATGTTCTTGGATACGATTTAACTGCTGAAGAAGTTACAGTTTCGTATTGTGCCTCTGAAGATACGTCGACGAATGGAGGACATTTTGAAACAAATTCTGATAATCAGGTAAGGATGACTGAACTTATTTGCTATTACNTTTTTTTGCAGACTATCGTAATGTTAGATACGTCGGAAGATGAATCACTCAAGGAAGAAGGTTTGGTACGTGAAGTTACAAATCGTATACAAAAACTTCGTAAAAGTGTTAGTTATCTCATCTGCTCTTGGTTTTGTATTTGTTTATTGACCTTGAAGTATGCACTTCACCATCATTGCCAGCTAATTGTGTAGAGAATGAAACCAATTTCTTTTGAGTTCGAACTTTCAGGCAAAGCTGATGTCAACAGATGAGGCAATCGTTTACTGTAAGTTGACGCCTGCAACACATCAGCTGGCCAGAGTGATCGAAGCTAACGCTGAAAGTATTCATGATTCAACCGGAACGGTCATACATTTGACACAAGTGCCTAGTGACCAGACAGTATGTGCTACATCTGAAAGCAGTGTGAAAGATGCGAAAGTTGAGGTGAGAAGATTGATTCATTCAACAGTTTGTTTGATTTTTCACATGCGTTCATTCTAATCATTACTATTGTTTTGCAAACTTTTGTTTGCCTATGAATTGAGGAAATGAAGTGAACAGCTTTCATAGTGTTTGGGGCCGTTCGCTTTTCGTAAAGAGCAGAACTTACGAGAATTTGAGTACAGTCCACATCAGATTTAATTGCGTCGATAGTCGGGAAAATATCGCTCATTCTGACTGCTTTGTCACGTTATGGAAAAATGAAACATTCATTTGTTTGGTAAGGTTGGCAAGGAAAGCAATCGATTGCTGAGATTGAACAGATCAT